TTTAAATTGTTTGCCTTGTTTGCTTTATTATTATATTGTTGGGGTGCTCTTATGTGTGAAAGGTCCTAACCCGGATCTAGTGTACCTTAGGTAAATGGCAATAGACCAAGGAAACTGTACGACGTATATCGATACGGTTGATCTGGTGGCCATAGTTAGTGCGACTTCTTGGTTGGTGCTTATATTCCTTAAGTCAAGTTGAGGATAATATTGAGGCTGCCATATGTTGTCAATGCACTAACTGACTTTTAGAACCCTAGTTAACTCATCTTGGCCTTTAGAAAGTAGTGAGGTAACCGGCTTTGGTGCAGACTGAAGTTGGTTGACACTCGATACTACGCTCATTGAGATCTTAAACTTGGAGGGTTTTGGTTGGCAAGTAAGTTGCCTTCTGAACAACCACCCTTGTGAAGGATCAATGATATTGAGATCCCTTAGAACCTGGTTACTTTTGTAGGACAGGATGAACCATCTAACTTCAGGGGAGGGTACTTGCCTTTGAACCTCATGCAAGCCTTTAAACCTAGGGCTATGGTGTGACTTGTTTGTGTGTGCCACATGTTTGTGATTGAGCATGACATCATGACATCATCATGCATCATAAGCATATCATTTTCCCTAACCATTTCAAGGACCAAAGGATTTATCTTTGTTCTTTGTTGCAGGTCATGGCTTCTGCTCGTAGAAACACCATCAGGATCAACTTTGTAGGGATACCTGCTAAGCTCAAGGAGTTGGTTTCCCTAGTGCCTGATCATTCCCAGTTCAACAAGAGACATGGTCACTTATTGGATCTAGTTACTTCAGGGTTCAGTGAAGACATGATGAGTGTGCTGTTTCAGTTCTTTGACCCTAAGCACCATTGCTTTACATTTCCTGATTATCAGCTGGTTCCAACCATGGAGGAGTTCTCTAAACTTCTGGGTATACCTGTTCTTGATCAGAAGCCATTCACAGGCTTAGAGAAGGAGCTTAAACCAGAAGTTATTGCTGCAGCTCTACATCTGAAGAAGTCTGACATTGTTCTAGAGACGAGAAGTGGAGTTAAAGGTATTCTTGCCAAGGTATTAGTGGATAAAGCTCAAATGTTCTTGAAGGCTATGAGCTACGATGCTTTTGAGGAGATCTTAGCCTTATTGATTTATGGCTTAGTGTTATTCCCCAATCCTGATCAGTTCATAGACGTTCATGCCATCAACATATTCCTGAGTCACAATCCAGTGCCTACCTTACTTGGAGACATCCTACATTCTCTTCACACCCGTACTACAAGGGCAAGAGGAACTTTGATGTGCTGCATACCTTTACTTTCTAGGTGGTTTATTTCTCACCTTCCTCGCTCAGTAATGAAGAATGAGCAAGGGTTCAGATGGTCCAAGAGGATCCTGTCACTTTCTCACTCAGACATCCATTGGTGCTCCAGATCTATGGAGAATGTCACCATCATTGACCGTTGTGGGGAGTTTCCTAATGTGCCACTTCTAGGCATAAGAGGAGGCATCACCTACAACCCATCTCTAGCTTTACGACAGTTTGGTTACGCCCGGAGCGATGGTCCACATGACATGTTGATTCAGGGCATTGTGTTTGACTACGACAACGATCTTCAGGGTTACCGTCAGAGATTCATACGAGCTTGGGGAAAGGTAAACAGGATTGACAGCAAGACACTGGAGCCTAAGTACACCATTCCTATGGAGGCTTATCTCAGATGGGTACGATTTCGTGCTCAGACACTCATGATGCCATATCCTGCCATCCTACCAGTTACCATGGAACCTGTTGCTGAAGGAGACACAGCTTATACCATCCTTCACCCAGACATGCCTACTGATATGGAAGACTTGCAGAGATCATGGATCCAACTGAAAGAGCAAAGGGATACAAAAATAGTTGTTATAGTAGATCATAATTTGTTCCAAAACACCACATCAGTATATTACATCAGATTAGTATAATACATTACATTGTACATTCATCAAAAACATCAGAATAGTTGTTCCTAACATTAAATAAAATCAAAATACTATGCCTTTCATATGCTCTTAGTTTACAATGTCTTTAGCCTTTCACTATGCCTTTTTTAGCCACAACATCATTTTGTGTCTTAAATTTGACTGGTTCACTGATACTTAGCCTAGACAGATTTGTTATAATACCAGGTGGTTTGAAAGGAGTATTCATGCATATTTGACAGTGTTTCATCCAAACTTCCAGAAAGTGTAGGCTTGTCATTGACAGTAGGATCAACTTCAATAGGCACAATTGGCTCATTGACATTACCATTCTTGGCAGTTGATCCAGTTGCTCTAGTATCCATAGGCACTGGCTTAGTAACAGTTACTTCAGGCTCAATTAGCTCAACTGGCTAAGTGACAATTGCTTCAGTTTCTATTGGCTTAGTTGGCACCTTGTCGTTGCCTTCCTTCACAGTTGAGTCAAACACTATTTACTCTCTAGTTTCCTTGACCTTTGTTGCTTCCTTGACCTTTGTTCCTTTATTTAAAGTTCCTTTCTTGACAGTTTCCTCTATGACCTTTTCCTCTTTGACTTGCCTCAATGATCTTTGCTTTCTTTGATTCCTTGACCTTTGTTGTACCACCAGTTGTACTCTTGTTTGTAGAACCATTAGGCCTCCCCTGCACTAAAAGCATATACATCCTCTTTTCCTCCTTGAACTTATCCATTTTTCTGTACACAAAATAGAAACCTAACATTAAAATTTACCATATCTAGGTCAAACACGGTAACCTTAATTTTTACTAACATGACATACAATAGGAAACAACAAATTACAAATGGCATACACTATTAACCCTAATTTACAGATGGTGCTCTAAAAAAACAAATTAAATAACACGGGACCACTTATACAGAAAAAGACATGGCATACATTACGAAACAAGGGAAATGAGATGAGACAAAATATGCTACGTGGGACCACTGCTAACAATGTGTATGATGTGGCTTTGGGACCACTACAAACGACAACTATCTTCTTTGAACACTGCGAGAAATGCTTCCTTGTTCCTTGACCACAACACACCTAGTTGACAATACAAAGACTTCTCTTCTCCTTCTGCTAGGGCACAAATTTACTTGAACTTGTTTGTGTCTTCGCTATCTCCTTATGAACATAACATTATCATCAACATTTCCACCGTGGCAAAATGGTACACGTAACAAAATATTAAAAGACACTTGGCATGCCACATAAGCCACCGTTAGTGGAAACTAACGGGTGAGACTACATTTATGGACGAAAAACTTTATGAGGACCATTGTTTGAAGGAAAATTTTGGAGGGACTGAACTTGAAAGTTGGGATATTTGTAGGGACTAAAAACATATTTAACCCTAAAAATAATTGTGTCCATTTATTTTTATTCTCTTGTTAGCATTGAAGTTTGAATTTCGAGAAATGATTAAATTTGGTGAAACCCAATTCAAATCCCCCTTTCTTCTGTTTCTCACCCCATCAAAAGTTAGGTAGATTCTCGTAGCTCAGCTCAACAAAGAACGCGTACCCTTGTTTCTCAACCAGGACTTAGCTTCTCAAAGGAAGGGCAAGGTCCATATCCACCAAAACCCTAACATAATGGCTATGGCTTAGTGGCTATTGAATCAGTGCATATATAAATGCCAATACCATTAGCGATGGCAAAAAGTATTTTAGGTCTCCAGTACTCTTGTTTCAATCCATAGAACCTGGCCAAAACTTGAGTATTAGTGTTTTTCTTTTTGAAGATTTGGATTGAAATCTCTAGTCCATGCAAATATCTTCAAGTGATCTAGTTGAAAATTCCATGATGCCACCGACCTAACTCTGCGCACGTCCTCTAGAGTTAAAAAAGATAACTCATAAAACTCTTTATCCAAAGAGGTGATTCCTCATCTGTTCAAATCTTTCTAAAGAGAAAATATCTTATTCTTTTAGACAGACATCGTTAGAGGTGTGTCTCCTTTAAGCCAAACTATTTTTTCGTGCATAATGTGCTTACAAGCTTTAACCCCTGCCAAGTATTCATCTTCTGGTATTGAGATAGAGATCATGTCAGCTTATACACATGGGTGAGGCATTCGAGCCACCGGAACATTACAAACATTTGTCAGTGCTTGAGCGAAACTTTATGACTTTTTTCTTTAGGCGGTTCCTTCTCTAATGGTTTCTGAAGGTCATCGAGACATTTCCAAAACATGTGAAAGGTTGTAAACATATTAATGATGAGACGCAATCAATAATGATGCTTAGTTGGTGTGAGTTTGAGTGAAGATAAACAACTTAATTTTTCTATTAATTAAATAAAGTCCACTTTAAATGAATAAAGTCTATTTTAAAACTCATATTTTATATATATATATATATATATATATATATATATATATATATATATATATATATATATATATATATATATATATATATATATGAGTTACAGAAATGGAAATAATATTAAAAAATAAAGTGTAACATATTTAAAAAAAAAAAAAACTAATAGATGTTATGAATATCGGTGTTGTTAGATCTTTTGTGCCGTTTAGTTTTAGCTTCTTCATTTTTAATATAATCCATTTTTAGTTAGTTTATAGAAACAAAACAAAGTGTGAAACGTCACAATTTTTACTCGAAGCAAAAAGTAAAAAAGAAGACGGCAGTTAAAGTTGTTGGAAATCCGTCAGACAACGTTTGCAAACATTGGCGCGTAATTAAACACGGACTAAACAAGATTAACTTATTTTAATTAATTTTAACCTCATAACTAACAGAAAACTAAACGAAAACGTCGTCGTTTTCACTTTCCTCTAATAACACGAGTCAGAATTGGTTCCGCACGCCATGACCATAAAAGTCAAACCTCTAATAACTCTCACTTTCCTCTTTCAAATCCCAAAACTAATTCACATTTCATCACAATTTCCATTCCTATCCACACCCCCTTTTCTTGTGGTACCCCACTCTCTCTTCCATCTCCAATAATCATTCAATCCATTTCACCAATCATGAAGCTTGTGATCCCTTCACACACTCCTCCCTTTTCTTCTCTACCTCACAACCAACCCATGGAACAACAACAATCTTCACCTACAAACCCTAATAAAGTTCATCTCGCCGTTGGTAAATCGCTTCACAAAACCACAACCTTGCTTCAATGGACTTTTAATCACTTTCGGAATGCCGAAATTGTTATTGTTCATGTTTATCAACCTTCTCCAGTTATACCTACTTTATGTAAAGTTCAATTCATTCAATTTTAATGTTGAATTTTAATATACCATTTTTGTGCTCATTGAAATTAATTAGCTTAATTTTGTTGTTAATTTGTTTAATTTGGTTACTTAGTGGGGAAAATGCCAGCATCTCAAGCCAATCCTGAAGTGGTATCTGCTTTTAGAAGAGAGGAAAGAGAACAGACTATGAGATTGACTGATAAGTATTTAAGAATTTGCTTTGCATCTAAGGTAAATATTTGGGCTTCTTTTGCATTATAATTTGATTCATTATTTCGCGTTACTACCGTCTAAATTATGTTAATTATTAATGTGTTTTTTGTTTTTGTGTTTTATGATTAGATCTTATGTGAATTGTTTTAACTGAGTTTTTTTTTTGTTGTGAAAGTTTGTTATGTGTGAAACCGATTATTGATTGTTTGTGTTGATATGAATTTATTGTTAGGTGAAGGCGAGTGTTATTGTAACGGAAGCCAGCCAAGTCCAAAAAGGAATTGTTGATTTGGTTGTTAAACATAATATTACGAAGCTTGTTATTGGAGCGGAATCGGAAAAGTAAGATTGAGTAGTAGATGGATGTTTTTTTTAACTGTTTTTAGATTTTTATTTTTGCAACTTTATGTCTTATAGAGGGGACTGGGAGTTTGTATCTTCTGTATCCCGCTGTCCGGCTGTCTTTTTGTGCATTGCAATGTGCACATTAGCTTAACAGATGAATAAAATGAGACGATAAAGTGAAGAGAGAATGAGTAGATTGTAATATTCATATTGCATTGAATGAATTGAATACAAGGGACTCTCTCTCTCTCTCTCTCTCTCTCTCTCTCTATATATATATATATATATATATATATATATATATATATATATATATATATATATATAGAGAGAGAGAGAGAGAGAGAGAGAGAGAGAGAGAGAGAGAGAGAGAGAGAGAGAGAGACTACATCTAACAAACTAGCTGAATGCTGTAACAGAATGACAGCTCAACAAGATCTATCTAACAAACTAACTGAATGCTGTAACAGAATGCCAGCTCAGCAAGATCTAACAAACTGATACAGTATGCTAACTACTCTATTAGTCCCCCGTAGAAGCTGATGGTGATTTGAACAAGTCAGTCTTGTTGAACACCTTCAGTTTTGCTTTGAGAGGAACAAATTTTACAGCAGAAAGAGGTTTTGTTAGAATGTCTGCCCATTTGTTTTGAGCTGGGACATGAACCACAGACAAATTTTTGCTGAGGACTTTTTCACGCACAAAGAAGATGTCAAGCTCCATATGTTTAGTTCTATTGTGGAGAACAGGATTGTGGGCAAGAGTAACAGTGCTTAAGTTGTCACACAGGATCTTAGGCACTTGGAAAGAAGAGTGGAGTTCCTTAAGTAAGGACTGTATCCATATTAATTCAATAGCTAACTGAGCCATACTCCGGTACTTTGCCTCAGCACTTGATCTTGCTACAAGTTGCTGCTTCTTGGACCACCATGAGACAACATTTGGACCAAGAAAAACACATGCCCCTGAAGTTGACCTTCTGTCATCTGGGTCTGTGGCCTAGTCGACATCACAAAAACCTAGCAACTGCGTAGGTTGCTGAATAGCAGCAGGTTGCAGAAGCAAACCATGCTGAAGAGTGCCACTCAAATACCGTAATATTCACTTGACTGCCTTCCAATGTTCTTCTAAGGGATTGGACAAAAACTTACACACTTTATTAACAGAGAATGATATTTCAGGCCTGGTCAGTGTGGCATACTGCAAGGCACCAACAACTGATCTAAACTGAGTTGGATCATCAACAGTGTCAGAACCAACCTTTGACAATTTGCTGCTAGACACCATTGGACTGGGCATACCGTTGGCATTTAGCATATTCACCTTTGAGAGCATATCAGTAAGATATTTGGTTTGAGATAACAGCAATGATCCATTAGGCAAATGAGACACTTCAATACCCAGAAAATAATCCAGCTGTCCCAACTGTTTGAGTGAAAACTTGTCATTAAGTTGCTTGATCAAGGAGTTAATGAATGAGGCAGAATTCCCTGTGATGATGATATCATCAACATACACAAGAATCATGATCTGAAGTTTTCCTTGATGCTGCAGAAACAGGCTGGGATCACATCTACTAGCCTGAAACCCATGCTGAATTAGAGCACTCTTAAGTTTGTCGAACCAGACCCTAGGAGCCTGTTTTAAGCCATAAATGGCTTTGTTTAACTTGCAAACAAGAGATTTATCAGTTGATTCAAAACCAGGAGGTTGTTGCATAAAGACCTCCTCCTCAAGAATACCATTTACAAAGGCATTATTCACATCAATTTGCTGAATTGCCCACTTATTTGTGACAACAATGGTTAGCACAACTCTGACTGTGACATGCTTTATAACTGGGGAGAATGTCTCCTGAAAATCACTTCCAGCCCTTTGATGGAACCCTTTTGCAACTAACCTGACCTTGTATTTATTTATGGATCCATCAGGATTTTCTTTGGTCCTGAAAACCCACTTACAACCTATAGGCTTTCTGGAATCAGATGCTTTCACCAATGTCCAGGTCTGATTTCTCATCAATGCCTGATATTCATCTTTCATTGCCTGATGCCAATAGGGAGCAGCCAAGGCTTGATCAACCGATGTTGGTTCCATATGGGTCAAGAGAAGTGTGGGATGAAGTCTAGGTTGAATGATACCTCTTTTGGCTCTAGTTTGCATGGAATGCACATTGTGAGGATTAACAAAAGGCTGATTTTGATGAGGAGGGCTGGGAGAAATTGTTTGAGAGGAAGAATGAGAAATGGTGCTAGCTTCAGCAATATCAGATAGAATTAGAGCAGGAGAACATGGAGGTGAAGTTGAGGCTGAAGTAGCAGGTTAAGAAGTTAAAGATGGAGTAACAGGTTAGTCATGGGTAAACTGCTCATATAAAATAGGAGCAGAACCAGAATTGGGAGTAACAGCAGGGGAAGAAGGAGACGCTACAGAAGGAGAAGACATGTCAGCATCACTTGAAATATGATTGGCTGCCTGACTGAAACTGTGATTAGTAGAGGAGGAAGGAGTGTCCACTAGACTGGATGCAGGGGAAAGAGATAAAGAAGGGGCAGACCAAGAGGAAGCAATGGGAGATGAAGGGGAAGGGCCAAAATTGGAGGGTTGAGCAGGAAACAAAGTTGAATAAGGGAAGTGAGATTCATGGAACACAACATCTTTAGAGATGTAAATATGTCCATCTGCAGCAAGGCACTTGTACCCCTTATGAGCTGTAGAGTATCCAAGGAAGATACATTCTTTGGACCTATAAGCTAACTTGTGTGAATTGTAGGGACGAAGAAAGGGAATACAAGAGCAGCCAAAAACTTTAAGAGTAGAATAATCAAGAGGCATATTAAGAAGTTTAGAATAAGGTGAACAATTATCAAGTGTGGAACTGGGAAGTCTGTTAATCAAGTAGGCTGCTGTGACAAAGGCATGATCCCAAAATTTCAAAGGAAGGGTAAATTGAGCAAGAAGAGTTAGGCCATTTTCAACAATGTGCCTATGTTTGCGTTCAACTAGACCATTTTGATGATGTGTGTGAGGATAAGTAAACCTATGAACAATACCCAATTCTGTAAGATACTTGGTAAATGGCCTGAATTCTCCACCCCCATCACTTTGAACACATTTGATGAGACAATTAAATTGCAGTTCCACCATTTTCTTAAACTGAATGAACTGAGTTAAAGTATCAGACTTGAGTCTCTAAGAAGACCCAAACAAACCTAGAAAAGGCATCTACACAAGTTAAAAAATATGTGTATCCTCCTGTAGACTTCTTAGGGGCAGGACCCCAAAGATCACAAACAACAAGCTCAAAAGGATGAGTATACACAGTGGTAGATAAGGTAGAGGGTAACCTATGTGATTTTCCTAGACAGCAAGCATGACACAACTCGGTATATGGTTTAGGAAGAATAGGGAGATTGCATAGTTTAAAAACCTCTACAAGAGCATGGTGATTAGGGTGCCCTAACCTAGTGTGCCATAAAACATATTTATCATTGGCTATAGATGAAGAACTATTAGAATGAGAAGAAGTTAACTCAGAGCTGTATGTAGTAGAATTAAGGGAAGGAGAATTGGAAAAACTGCTCATAGTATTATTATTGTATTGATCAAAATTACAAGGAGTAATACATTGAGAGATAAAATTTGACAAACAGTTGGAAACATGATTAGTGGGTGCTACAGAAGAACATGAGACATTACAGCTAGCACTACACTTAGTCTTAGAGACAGATTGAGCAGAACTGAAAATTGAATTTGAAGAGAATTTTGACAATTGAGTGGCAGAATTTGGAAATTTGTAGAGACCATCACTTCCAACTGACCTACGCAGTAATACTTCAGATGAAGCCTGAGATTTTACAACACAAAATTTTGGGTGAAATTCAAAGAAAACATTGTTATCCTGAGCAAACTTGTTCACACTCATCAAGTTTTTAGTAATATGAGGAACAAGTAAAAGATTGCTAAGAGTAAGGGATAAGGTAGGATTGTTTGGTAAGGGAAAGGACATGGAACCAACAGAATTGATTGACAAACCTTGGCCATTTCCCATGAAGACTTGCTCAGTGTCAGACAATGAAACAAAATCAGCCAAATTAGAGGCCTCAGGAGTAACATGATGAGACGTACCTGAATCCGGATACCACCATTGATTACTTAAATTAGCTTCAGTACCTGCATAAAAGGTTTGAGGTGCTGAAGGTCTAGGAGGTGCACCTTTGGGAGCAGGATAGCCAAACTGAGATGAATACATGGAGCGAGGTGGCATGAGAAAAGGATTGAACGGAGCCCTCTGAGATGTGTACGCAGCTCTACTAGCGTTAGAGTAACGATAATAACAGACAGAGGCATCGTGTCCAGATTTATGACAAATCTGACACTCGTTTTGCCAAAGCGTCCTCCACCACGACCATAACGGCCACCTCCACGACCAAAACGACCTCCACGTGAGCTATAACCATGGCGCTCAGCATGCGCAGTAACATGACTCGTTTCTTGAGGAAACACATCAGTGATGGTTTGATCAACGGGAACTGACGCAGACGGTGGCGCTGCCTGAGTGAGATTCGTCGTCACAGGCTCCGTAATCACAGCTTTGCGATGCTTTTCCAGTCGCGACTCATGTGCAACTAAAGACGACTCCAATTCTTCTAGCGAATTGACCTCTTCTTTACTGTCAACAGCTGCAACAATAGAATCGTACTCTTCAGGAAGAGAATCAAGAACGATCTCGATTATGTTACGAAGAGGAACAAGATCCCCAATCGACGTCAACGATTCACTAATTTCACGTACACGAACCATGAGTTTGTTGATCGTGAGTGCTCCTTTTGTGAGACGACGAAGATTCAAGCGCAACTGACGCGCTTTGGTAGAGAGAAGAGTGTTGAAGTACCGATGAACCTCCGCCCAAACTTGCCAAGAATGCGTGCAATCCACAAGCTTCGGAAGAACGAACTGGAGATGGTGGATAGCAGCCAGGTACAGATGAGTGCGTC